CTTCTCATATCAAATCTGAAATCAATCTGTTACGGTACATTAGGTCTCTATATAAGTTAATATAACTAAAGGAATCAAACCTCTAACTCAATATCATCTATCTATCTATACTAATATTTGTGACAGTCGTTTGTCTGTCTGTTCGGGGTTGGCGGCTACACTACACATGTAGGTCTGCCCCGAGTCTGAAATTTGGGGTATTGGGGTAGCTCGAAACGGGGAGTAAAATAGGCCAGGTGGCGTTAGTCTACCACTTCCGGTTTCGGAGTTATGACCCCCGAGCGAAGCAGGCTTGGCGGCTACACTAGGTCTTCCCCCGAGTCTGAAATTTGGGGTATAGGGGTAGCTCCGACCGGGGAGTAACATAGGCCAGGTGGCATTAGTCTACCACTTACGGTTTCGGAGTTATGACCCCCAAGCGAAGCCGTGTATCCTGCTAGTCCATAATATTTGAAATTAAAAACAAGAATTAGAATTCAATATTGGTCCATCTCAATCCATATTTAAATTATCTTACCGTGAAAATATGAGATGCTAACATGACCATAAACACTGTGTATAAATTTAAAGTCAATCGGATATTAACTTTAGCCTCTAGAGCGTCCACAAGACGTTTCAAAGTGATCAAGGGCCATAACTCTGGCAGTAATAATCGGAAATTGTTGAAAAGCAATAGTATTCTTCGTCTCATGATCTTAAACACTGTGTATCAATTTAAAGTCAATTTAAATGTGGCTGTATAAAAAAAAAAATTCAAGAATTAGAAACTATGTGTATACATGTATATATCCAAAGTAGAAGCAATGCTGATGGCAACTGAACATGTGGAGCAAGAAAACAATGAAGAAAATCACAAAAACTCTAAACTTCACTATGGAATTTTATAAAAGAGAACATGTCTGTAAATACAAACAAAAAGAAAACAAAGACAATGAGTGGTGAGAATGACAACAGGAAAGGTTTCATTCCTCGTATGTACAGCAACAAGGAGAATCAATCCCGACAGATGCCCTGTTGCAGCATACAATTTTTATACATCCAAACGACCGAGTTCGATGTTGCACAAAGATGCAAGGTTTTATCTACAACCGAAGAGTCTGAAGAAAGTTGAATGCGAAGTTTGGTTTACTGCCCAGCCAGTTGGCATTAAAGTAGCTAAGTCTCTAACTCAATATCATCCAAAATCTTCAACATTGAAAACACGATTTATTTGTCAAATTAAATCAACATTCATGTTGTGATCTTACGGGAAAAAGATGGGCTTTTGATATCCAATATTTAAGACAAAATAAACATTTTACCATTGGTACACGAATCATGTACCATAATGCGCTTCAGCCCCAGTTGTATCAAGAGACTCGAGGGACGAGGCTAGACACATTGCACCAAATCAAACGGCGTATGTAGACTGGAATAACCAGACGCTAGAAATTTGCACTCGCTTGAGACTGCTGGCTTATTTCGCCGAACATAACTGCTTTGAAATTGGAATAAAAACGGAAACCATTCAATGTAAATCAGTTTATATACATTCATATTACAGTATTATATGCGTTGCGACCCACTTTTGTCAATTTCTAGGCCCAAATGTTAGCGATTTAGCTCCTTTAATATGTATAGAAAATGATGCCTAGAATGGCACAAAATGGTTGATTGAATAGCCGATTCACAAATCATTCCGTGCGGGCAACTAGTATATAATATCGCGCCTCTCAGATGCTGGTGTGCAAACAACAATAATAGCGTAACATTCAGGACACAAAAATACCAATTCTATTAACAACTATACAGTCGCCTCTAAAAACCAACAAAGAGCGAACTGTTCAATACTGTTGAAACGTCAAAATGATGAAAACCAACATCCGTAATGTCCACACCCACAACAGAAGCAAGCTCAGCACGCCTAAGCAGCAGGGGAACTCTTTGGGACATTCCATGATTTCCGGTGGAACTGTCAATGTTGTATCTAAAGACATCATATGATTAACCAGTACCATAACATAACGGCGAACACCCCTTATAAAACGACTTTTGATGCCTGAGTCCGAACAAAGTGGTTACGACGAGTCTGAGCTAAGTTTAGAACGAATTCCAAAATGGCTGCCAATCTCCCCAACACCAGCTTTGAAAAAGAAGCAGTATTTTCAACGTTTTAAGAACTAAAGGCAGCAATTAAGAGATGGGAAGGGTTAGGGTTAGGACTATTTTTACGACTATTCAGTTTTTAACTCCGCCGATGGAGGACTGTGACAGCATCATCGTAACAATATATATAACAGTAGCGATGCTAAACGCCGCTAGGAGCGCTGGCTGTACTATTTACAGACATCACAAAAAGTTGACCGAGAAAAGTATACGTCGTGTTACGCCTTGTCATGAATATTCAAAGTGTCAAACATTGACCACGTGATGTTTACCATCGAGAAAAATAGATGAACTTGCTGTCGAGTAGGATTTTGAGAAGCTGAGGTAAGATTTTCTGATATTTTTCATGAATTGAAAATTTGAAGTTGAGAGAAATTTTCGAAAAAGGCCCTCGACGCTCAAGATTTTGGTATATTTGGAAAGCCCAATTCATTAACTACTTAGTTTGACCATTTGTTAAGTCCGTATCCCCCGTAGGAATTCGTAAAATGGCTGAAATTGAACCATGTGGAATTAAAGGGAGGTAACTCGTGGTTGATGAGGGTTCAGACCATAATTAACCCCCCCCCCCCCCCCACAGACTTCAGTGTAAAAAAAATGATGTTAGATTTGGACAGGGTTTTTTATTATATTGAATGTTACTAAAGCTACCAACCAAACTTTAGCCAGACATTTCACTAACAAAGGATAAAAATTGTGAATGTTGTTGACCACCTTGGATTTTTTTTTCAGGAACTGTAGCTGAAGAAGTAAGCTACATAATATATACTCATCCAAATCCAAACATAGCCAAAGGCGATCCCTGATATTACTTGGTACAACATAAAATAGACAAATGATGATGATATATAGGCCTACTCATACAATTTGCATGAGGACTATAAAAAGGGGGGCTTGAAACTGACTGTTTCTCAGCATTCTCAAGAAAGTCCATAATTATTATAAATTTGGTATGAATCATAGAAGTTAGTTTAATTTATTGTTTGAAATCAGTGTTAGTAATCTTATTTTTGTTATTTCAATATTTGTGATAATATTTATTTTATTTTTAACATTTTCTACCTGAAAGAAGTGGCCTGATGCGTCAAATGTTTTTGTTTATTTTGAAAAATATCGCATATGAATAATGTGCAGATTATTTTATATTGTTATTATTGTTTGTTTTTGTAAGATACATGTATTAGAAATCTTATATTTGTTGATAAATGTGATAATGGTTTCTTTTTTTTTATCATTTATTTTAAACCGGTGGGTGAACATTTTTAATTTCATATTAAAAAGTAACAGATATGAATTTTGATCTTATTGTGATTTTGTTTTTAATATTTTTATATTTTTATGACATAGATAATGTCTCGGCAAGATGTATCACCATCTGAATGTTTATATTGTTTTTATTTTCATGGGATAATGTCTCAACAAGAAAGCTAGACTTCTACCACTGATATTAAAATATAGTATATCGTAATGCACATGTATCACAAATTAATTTTTTTAATACTCTTTCATGTAGATCATATCTTACTTTTTATAAGCTTACCTTTTAATTTGGACTCTTTTAAGATATTCAAATGTTTTAATTATGTCTATTAATTATGTCTGTTTTTATTTGAAATTGTAGTGATGTTGATCACAAAAATATAGCTGTTATATAAATCATAATTTAATTGTTAATTTTCATTCCTGAAACAAACAATTTCAAATTGATGTACATGGCAGCTTCTAAACAACTAAAGCAGTTGGCGTGGCAAAGGCGGCAAATCTGCCAAAAGCTTAGAGGTTTATTTCTCATTTTGCCACACACTTTCATGATTTTTAAAAATATCCACAGTATACGTTAGTATAACCGGTTTATAATTGTTGTATGACTGTGAATGGCCAGTGGTCAATGGCCTCGGAACCAGTAGGTGCCCAATTACATACATAAACTTGTTTCTCTTCGACATTGACATCATACAGTCAAAAATTGTGATTTAAGGTGTTGTCATGCAAAAAATAAATAACAGAACAGACTGAAAACACTTTTATGTGTGCTTATTCATTAAAAAATAAGCCTCTGTATTAATGTCAAAGCGCTACAATTTAAGTACACACAAATTTGAAAAAAATTTTGCTGTGATTTGTGCGAAATCGGCACGGATCCCAACTTTGAACCTCTGTAACATAAAAAGTATATACTAGAATATTATAGCGACAATTTGGCTTTATCAAGTACATCTAGATCTTTAATTAGTGTAATTTTCATAGACCTATCTTGTAGAGTTACTGAGATATTGGCTTCGGTCACTTTTTTGCGGTTTTTAAAAAAAGCTGTTTTTTAGCGCCTCTGGTTTGCCTTCTTTAAAACGCTATAACTTTTTTAATTTTCAATATTTTTTCGAAATTTTTTCAGATTATTCATTCTAGATAGTTCACAATTGCAGTATCGTTGTCATTTTTGAGTCAATGGTTGTATCTGAAAACCCGTTGGCAATGCTAATAACAGCCTGAGGACCATTTTTACGACTTGTCGTAACAATAGCCACTGCCGAGTCCGAAAGGTCGCGAGTCGATGGACCGAAATCTCAATATGTGTAGGCCTATGTAATCGATGAATTCTTGTAGATATGTCATCATATTTTCTGTTTTAGTGGCCAGATTTGTAGATAGGCTCCTGGCCTAAGTCCCAACTCAACCCAAATAAAGATATCATAATTAGATCCATCCTTTCGAATGTCTCAAACAGAAAAATGACAGTGTCAGTGTCAGTGGACGAGTGGTCACACTCAGCAGTGTCATGAGTGTCACTCGACTCAACCTGTCCGCAACACTTACACCGAAACACACGTCTGTTACTTTATAAAGTGTATACCCACCTAAATATATTTTCGTCACCCATAACAGCATAAATATCTTATGAGTTATACATTTAAAATGAAATAATAAGCTTATTCATTGCCGAATTTCTTCCTTGGTTAAAAATGGCGGCGAATTCTTGTATTCCGACTTTCGTCCAATCAAATCGCTGTATGTTAGTGTGAAATATGGACTTGGCTTGACATCCAAATAATGAATGGAATGCTACTTTGACATAAAAAGAAATGGTATATTTAAATGCATTGGTTAAAGCACTAATTTATAGCCCTTCGATACTAAACTGAATTTCGGAATGAGAAATATTTGTAGGCCGCTAAAAGGTGTCACACATTATCACATATGTGATAGAAATGGCTAAACATTACAGGCCTAAAACACGTTCCAAAATCCAAATTATAATTTTAATACCGAGATCGTTGCTACGATATATATGCGTATATATGTATATTAATTTTGATGTAGGGCCTATATATTTTCAAGGGTTTTCATAAAGGTTTAAAAATTAAGGTCGCCTGTCCAACCTCGTGGGTTCTCTAGCTGGGTCCTCCGCCCCCCCCCCCCCCACTGTTAAAAGACCCACGCGTAAGCAAATTATTGAAATAAAATTGAACCATGTGTTAGTCCCGAAATGACCTAGTTTGTGTCGAGTGGACGTTATACCCCATTCCCCCCCCCCTCTCTCTCTCTGACCCCCCCCCCCCCCCCCCGCCTTCGAATACGAAAAGTTGTCACCGTATATGAGACCGTGAGAGGAGACCTACAATTTATAAAAAGAATCGACTGTCACTAAATAAGAGAAAAGGAAAAAAAAAGAAGAAAAAGTCCGTGCATTACCATGTTTTTATTAATTATAGAATGAATATCTAGTGACATTCAATTATATTTTTGAATTGTCAGATATCCTCATATAGCAACTTTTGATCTTCGAAGGAATAATCAGTGTGCAGAATTCGCCCATGTAGCTGTAATCATTCGTTACGTTTATATGCAAGGAAATTATTTATGAATAGCCCCAGTGTTGAAATCAGTTTATGTCGACATATACCTATATTATCTTTTCATCGTGAAACAAAGTAGTGCAGCTTTACGGTTGTGCTAATATTTATGGATATACATTATATACTTTTTCTAAATAACCTAAATAGCAGAGCCAATAATATTTATCTTTTTTCCAAATTAAAAAACAAAACAAAAACAAACAAACAAACCACAAATTCAAGAAAACAGTTTTTGAAATATTAATAAGTATTCGGAATATGTCTCCATAATATGCCAATTAAATTCTTAAAATTGTATCCTATTAGTGTGACGGCAAAAATCAAGCGTTAAAAAGAAATAAACTCACCTAATGTTATTACATTAATAGTTTGTCTCGCGCCACGTGAGTAAGGTAGATATTCAGAGGGTAAATACCAATTATTGAGTAAGACTACTTATTACAGTACCTAGAGAGAGATATTAATGACCCATTAAAATTGTATTGCAATATTATGTCTGGCGGTGTGTCATGACATGATTTAATTGTAGTAATTAAACAAATGAATAAATTAAGATAGTTATATGTGCCACGTGTTCAAGATATGTCTATATATAAGTTACTGCAGTGTATATCAGTATACTTATTATGATCTGTTGAGGTGAACATCACAGACAAATTTTACAATCTTTTATAACTACCTTTAGCTTCATAAACGCAATCATGTCTAGTGGTATTAGAAAGGTGAGTGACCCAATAGTTTTGGCATAGATAATGGCCCATTCCTGATAATTTACATAATTTTCCACTTTACTGTCCACATAAACTCCATAATCCAAGTTCCAAATACGTGTAAAACGCATATCGTGTCCGAAATGATTTTAGCCAATGTCTAATTTTATGTTTTCCGCGAAGGATTAACTTTCTAACAGTCCGCCAAAATTAGAAAATATGGGTCAATATAAGGTGATAATATGCTGGTTTCTTTTTAGGAGGAGGGTGGGGGTAAAAACTATCATATGATTAAGCGTAGTATTTAATTTGATATGACATGGTCAGACATTAAATATCATGTCATCATTAAAACGCGTGAAATACCAATCTAATCCACTTAAATGAACTCCTTACAAGATCTGTTAATTAGTTAATCACTGTCTGTCTATAATGTTTGAGATGTACGGTATATATATAAAGATGTAAACAAGTTGGTTTTGCTCTGTTAGTCTACTGGACAGAGAAAAAACTCAACTCAAGAATATATGACTTTAATATATATATATTGAAGCAATTTTATTTTCCACATATCTTTAGATGTCTGTTGATGACCAAATTTGTTACAACACTCCAAATTCTAGGTATGAAAATAAAATGTAACTTTTATAACATAAAGAATAGTTTACCAGTCTTAGATATTCTGATGTTAATAATCACGTCGTGTGCATTTTTGTTGTTTTTGTTTGCAGGAGAGGAAACAAAAGACTGAAAAACGACGACGACAAAGAATGAACGAAACGTTAATAAAAATAAGAGATTTAGTTTATCAATATGAACTTATTAATATCGTGGTAAGTATATTGGATTTTTTATATTACCGTATTTATCATATATGGAAAAACAATTTTATTCAACTGTCCAATTTGGAACTTTTCTACCCTGTGTTCAGATCATAGAGATCGGAACCTGAAATTATATTCACAAGGAGGAATATCTAAATACAAATTGCCGAAAAGTGGAAATAATCTTCCTTTAAAAGTCATTATTCTATGCCCACTGATCAAAGTCGGGCAGTTATATCAAAATACCATTTAAATCACATTATGGGCCATCTGTTATATACTTTTCAAAGTTTCTGTGTATTATTTCTCAGGATAAAGAAAATCAAAGAATAGAAAAGATAGAAATATTAGAAAAGGCTATAGAAATTATAAAACATGTCCGCTACTGTAATAACACGTCTAATAATGTGTACCAACAAGGCTTTATCAAATGTTTTACAGAAATTAACTCGTTTTTATTGAATATGAACACATGTGATAATAATGTACGTCACAAAATTCTTGCATTCTTGATCCAAACCGGACATAAAAACGAGAAAACTGGGACCATGAAAAGTGTTGGCAAACTAGAAGCCTGTCAAAATGTTTCTATATCTTCTCATACAAGTCTTACCGAAAATATAAGACCAGCATGTACTAAAACACTAAACTCTATGTATAAAATACGGTGTGAAAATAATAGTGTATGGCGACCCTGGATGTAGTTGTCAATATTTTGTTGTATTATTATTTTGTTCTCCATGTTATTTTATCTAATTTATTTCTGAAATAAATCTATTTTTCAAATAATATACACTATGGCTGCTATTTATTATTTCGACAAATATTGACAAAAAAGAATAAACGGGATAATTGGTGTTTAAAGATACATTATCATAGGCGTAGGAGCCCCCCAAAAAATTTATTTTCGGGCAATGAAAAATTCGACGACCTTTTTTTTCTATTAACGTTTAGAGAAAAAATATAACTAACTTATTTCTATAAGATCCACACTGCCCGAAAAGTATTTTCTCGTCTTTTTCTTGTCCACTGCATATGCCCGAAAATATGCCCGAAGCTCTCTTATGATAGGTATGCCCGAAAAAACGGTATTGCCCGAAAAACGGGCATCGGGCCGGAAAGCGGCAGAGGAAACTAGCAGTAAAACGCGTTTGCGACCGTCAAATATTCCAAAATTTTCTTGACGGGTCATTCGCCTCTCAAAGAAAACCGGCGCCGCTGTCTATAAATCCGGAATTTTTCGGGCATTTCTAGTTTTGCTTCCCTAACTGTCGTCGAGCCCTAATAAAACACTAATTTTACTTTTCTTGTAATTGAATATCACGAATTTGTACTGAATTGACTATGGATTAAAACATTTTGTCTGGAGCCACTCTACTTTGTGCGACATTTTTCAGGCATCGATTATTATTTGTGAATGCAGATGCAACAGTCTGATTGGATGGTTAGAATTCAGAGTGGGATTTCAGTTACAAAACCATTGGATACTTTTGGAGTTGCTTACACGGGATAGAATAGCAGAAAACGCATTTACGGTGATTAAATTTTCAAATTTTTCTCCGGGAGGGTGAGGCCTCCATATACCGCGCGACGACTGATTGGTTGTTTGGAATTCGGGTCAGCCAGGTAGGCTATATTGGATCAAATTGAAGTTGCTGTATTCACAGACTGGAATAACAGGAAAACGCGTTTGCGGCAGTTACATTTTCAAAATTTTCTCCCAACGGTCCCGTCTTCGTTGACTGTAAACGATTGATTGGAATTCGAGTCAGCCACCTTAATAACTTTGAAGTTGCTTTGTTCACCGGCTGAAATAGCAGGAAAACGCGTTTGCGACAGTTAAATTTTCAAAATTTTCTCCTAACGGTCCCGTCTTCGAGGACTGTAAACGATTGATTGGAATTCCGAGTCAGCCACCTTAATTAGGCTATATTAGACCGCTTGAAGTTGCTTTGTTCACTGGCTGAAATATCGGGAAAACGCGTTTGCGGCAGTTAAATTTTCAAAATTTACTCCTAACGGTCCCGTCTTCGAGGACTGTAAACGATTGATTGGAATTCCGAGTCAGCCACCTTAATTAGGCTATATTAGACCACTTTGAAGTTGCTTTGTTCAACGGCTGCAATAGCAGGAAAACGTGTTTGCAGCCGTCAAATATTCCAAAATTGTCTTTGGGGGGGGGGGGGTATACAAGGTCGCTGCTGTCTGTAAACCCGAAATTTTTTCGGGTATTTCGGGTTCTGCCCCCCTAACTGTCATCGAGCCCCTACGCCTATGTACATTATAGGAGATTAGATAAAGAGCTGACAGTTCTCACTATAATGGTTAAAATCTAGATAATGTAAAGGGAATTTGCTGAAAATTTCAGTCAAATTGATCCAGTCTGAACCGAGTATGTAGCGATTGAATTTTGGGCCTAAGCTCGATCATCATTACTAAAGTAAATATCACAGGCTAGCGATGCCATCGTGAGTTGATTATGGTCTGGTTAAGTTAATGTCTAATTAATAATTTAGATAACATTTCAGACCTAAAGAAAGACCTGCAGTTGGCAGATTTAACTCTTGCATAATGTATG